GAGATACAGTAGAAACCTTTACACGAAATGTAGGATATGTACACAGATTACGCCTGCGATTTTGACTCCGAATGACGTCTGTTTTGCTAGGACAAGCTTTTAGTTTATTGTGCCTAACATCAATGTTGCCGTCCCTACGCCGGCTCAAAAAACAGTTCAGACTCAGAAGCGTCGCAAGGCGGATAAAGCGCGATCGTTGGCGAACGGCTGACGTTGGCGAGGCTGGTCGGGCCAGATGCGGGTGGTAGGCTGGAGGCAATCGCCCGGAATTATGCAACCCAAAAACCCGATGAAGGGAAGAGAACCACCCGACAACGGCGTGATTACAGTCTCACCGTAACGCGATGATCTTGCGCCAGCTCAATTGTACCAGTTCCGTGCTAGCCTGCTGCAGCGCAAGTTGGTTCGAAGTCGCGGTGTAGGCAAGCGAAGAAGAAGTAGAAGTTGAAGAACCCCCCATATCTTGATAAAGTCATTTATCATATTTCTCCCACTGTCAACTCGATTGCCATCATCTCTCCAATACTAACTCCAGAAAGATAACCAGCTGAAATATGATGGAGATGCAAGAGAAACTTTTCATCAACAACGAGGTGAGGACAGAGACAGTACAAGATGTGCCGGGTCATGGAAGCTAATGACCAAATGCAGTACGTTGCGTCGCATACTAGCGAGAGGCTCACGGTGCACAACCCATACGATGGAAGTCTTGTTACAGACAAGACCGAAGTAGCGCTAGAAGAAGATGTCGACTTGGCTGTGTCGGCAGCAGAGGCGGCGTTCCCAACATGGCAGGCAATGACAGGCGTCCAGCGTAGTGCGCTTATGCTCAAGTACGCCGATCTGGTCGAGAAGCACACGCAACAGATAGCCCAGCTCGAGTCGCAGTGTATGGGAGCGCCTATGATGCTGGCGACGAGGGTAGTGGGGAACCATGTGGCTGCTTTCCGGTATTACGCAGGTTTGACAGATAAAATCGGCGGCACTACTTACGCTGAAGATGGCGATGGCTTCTTCAAGATGGTGTTGCAGGAGGCGATTGGAGTATGCGCAGGCATCGGAGCGTGGAATGCGACGCCCATCTTTTCGGCGTTGAAGGTGAGAATGGCGCCCATGTTCATTCTTCCAGGCGATTGCTGACTAGAGTGTAACAGATCGCACCCGCTATCGCAGCAGGCAACACATTTGTGTTCAAAGCGTCAGAGAAGTCGCCGCTGGGCGCGTTGTACCTTGGACAACTGTTCTGCGAGGCTGGCTTTCCCCCAGGTGTCGTGAATTTTGTGTCTGGCGGGCCAGCGACGGGCGCTCTTCTCGCATCGCACATGGGCATTCGCAAAATCTCCTATACAGGATCCGTCAACGGCGGCCGTGCAGTACAGGATGCAGCCACAAAGAGCAACCTGAAGCAAGTCACACTTGAGCTGGGAGGCAAGTCGGCAGCACTGGTCTTTGACGATGCCCACCTCGAAACCGCTATTTCGCATTGCTCGCAGACATTCACCCTCAATGGTGCCCAGGTGTGCTCCGCAGCCTCGCGAGTGCTTGTCCACCGCGACATCGCCGATGCCTTCATTGCGGGCATCAGCACTGCTTTCAAGCAGTTGGCTGCAGCCCACGGCGCGCCAGCGGAAGCCTTCTTTGGCCCCTTAGTTGACAAGCAGCACCGTCAGCGAGTGCAGGCCTTCGTGGATGCTGCCCGTGACGAGGGCGTCAAGGTAGTCGCAGGCGAGGTGCCTGACCACCCCACCGCCCTATTCATGCCGCCGACGATTCTGATCGATCCGCCAACCAACAGTCGCGCATACCGCGAGGAGATCTTCGGGCCTGTCTTGGCTGTGAAGACCTTTTCCACAGAGGAAGAAGGTCTTGCACTTGCCAACGATTCCTCCTACGGACTCGCCGCTGCTGTCTTCACGTCCAGTATGCCGCGTGCCCTGCGTGTAACCCGCGCTCTCCATGTCGGCATGGTGGGAGTCAACAGTCCCGTACTGCCCTTGAGCCAGCTGCCATGGGGCGGATGCAAAGAGAGTGGCTACGGGCGCGAGGGCGGGATGGCGGGTCTGGAAGAGTATCTACAGTCCAAGACGGTTATGATCAGCATGAATGACCCAACTTCCGCCAAATAGATTAGTTCGTAGCGTTAAAGCTCTATTAACGACACTTCCTTGGACTTCTCGTTCGGTGTACTGCTTCTGACCTTTGCGTGAAGTAAAATAAGAGGCTAAGCTCGAAGCTGGCTCCGTTTAACCGTGCACTCAACTGACAGGAGAACGCGTCTGGCCTTGCTCCGCGCTCGTGGCGTACGTATACGGCAGCAAAGCACATGGCCAAGATGTGGTCATTGCAGTATCCCGCAGATGCTGGTTCAAGATGAGGATACTGAAAGGCATAGATCTCGAGGTTTGGTGTGCATAAAAAGGCGTTGAACGCGTCGTAATTACATGAATGTTCGCATGGAGAGGTGCAGCATGCCAAGTCCCGGAACTTCGGAATCCGGAGTGGTCAGAGCTTCTGGATCGACTGGCTAAACGCCGCAAACATCGAGCTTCACATATCGAGGTTTATCTAGTCAAGAAAATTACAACACATCGATTCAGTTCTATGGTATACACGGTCTGTATCTCTCACCAGCTGAAGTTCTCCTAGATACCCACCCGTTCCTGAAACCGAATGTACAGATCGGGTCGGTTCAAAGTCTGAAACGATCTCAGAAGCCAAAAATGAGGATCCAAGCTCCACAAGCGATTCTTCTCACCTTCCACTCCCTCGGTCTCCAATTCAAAGTCAAAAGACCATAGTAGATGTGCGATGGTCAACCGAATTTCGAAGTAGGCCAAATTCTGGCCGATGCAAAGTCTGGGCCCGGCCCCAAACGGCGCGGACGCAGACAGCTTGTCGTCCTCAAAAGCTGGGTCCCAGCCCTCGTCGGGGTTATTGCGCAGCCATCGCTCGGGGTGGAACTCATTGGGCAGATGGAAGTTACGCTCAGAGCGTACTGACGCCCATGGCGACGTGGACACTGCCGTACCTCCCGGCACTACAAGCGGACCGATCTGCGCACCTTGCGCCGGCGTTTCGCGTGGAAGACTTGAGCTGACCGGTGGGAACACACGCAAAGCTTCTTTGATGCATGCATCAAAATACACCAAGTCTTCCAACTTTTGTAGTGTAATGTCACTTGGGTCTGCAAAGGTGGTACGGATGAGGGTAGCGAGGCGCTGATGGATGTCGCGATGGGTGCTGAGAACCCACATGAAACTGACGAGAAGGGAAGAAGTAGTTTCGGAGCCGGCAACGATGAGGGCCATCATGTCGAGGTAAAGCTCGGTTGGCGATAGGGACTTTCGGGCGTCCTGGTTGCGTTGATAGTGGTAAACTATGTCTTTATGGTCAGACTTTTCGTCGGCAAGACCTGGTTCAATGTTAGCTGACTTTGACTCTGTAGACACATAGCGAAAACCTACGCTCGAGAGTCCTTTTCTTCGCGTTCACGAAAGAAATCATCCTCCACTTCATTGCTTCCTTCGGCATAAGTCTGAGCGCGATACGGTTGAGCAGTGTACCCACTCCCGCGACTCTCCGGACGGCCATGTCCAAGTTCGAAGTAACAAGAACTTTCGTCGTTGCCTCTGCCCATTCAGTAGCAACACCACTGTCCAAGCAGTGGAACGACTCGCCGAAGCATATATCGCCGATAATATCGAATGTTGTAAAGGATACTGTACTTCGTTAGAACATTACTACTCCCAATGACAAGATGGACGGGAGAGGAACTTACACCAATCGGCCATATTCAAGGCTTTGCCGTTCTTCCCTCGTGTCTTGATTACGTACACCAATTTGGAGATCTGAGTCTCAAGTATCTCCTGCTGTGATACAAGTGCAGGCTTCGTGAAGCCCACTGCCATTCCACGTCGGTGTCTCTGGTGCTCAGCACCCTTTGAGAGCCCGATCCCGATACAGCCATCGACGGGTGTTGCAATGCCAATGAAAATTGGTGACTTCTCCAACGCTTTGCCATGCTAAACCAATTTGTCAGCCGAGACTGCACTAAATACATAGGTGCTACTAGTTGGACTTACGCGAAAACCGTATATCTGCTCTGCTCCATATGGTTCGGCAAAGCTCAACTCATTCGGGGAGGTCCGAACGATCGGTCCGTATTTCTCATGCAACTTGTAGTTGTACAAGTGTTGAACACCACGGAAGACTGCGATTGCGCTCGGGATATTCGACACGCTGTTGAGCCATGGTCCTGGATATTTCCTCAAAGGATGCATCCATTGTCGATAAACAGCTGGCCCTATGACGGACACTAAGATCTTCAGGTATTAATCAGTATTCGCTCTGTGCGTTGGCGCATGTGTAGCTCACCACCAACAAAATGGTCCACCCAGCAAAAGGGTTGTGCGAGAGGGCAAGTTCGAGCACAGCCATCACGCGAGTGGGGTGCTATGGTGCAGAGCTCTTTGGCAAAGGAGAGTAGAAGTGACAGGAATCTGAGTGAGTGAATCTGGGAATTCCTTGTCGGGATTCTCTTTGGTGGTTTTGAAGTGGATCGACGTGCGTCAGAGAACACCAAGGAGGGTCAACGGCACATATACCAACTGTGCTATTGATAGCAAAACGTCGTCAACTTAGTAGACCACAATGAACCGAATCGATTGATGCCGGACTGCGCGGGTGCAATGGTTGATACTACGTCATGACGGGGGAGAGGTTGACATAATATCCCGCGGCCCTATTCAAGGTTGGATTTGGGTTTCGGGTCATTCACCATCAGATCTGACCCCGCGCATGAGTCGCAGATGGGCGATTGATGAAACATTGAATACGCGATTGAGTTGTGCATCGAGAACGACATATGCTACGAAGATACCAGAATTGGCCAGGTATACTCTGATATAAAGGCAGTACGCCATAAAGTGCTCATAATCTCACACCACCACAACACTTCGCAGCACTCAACTCATACATCGATAAACCCTTTCAACATCACCATGTCTGCCTTACCAACAAAAGTTCTGGCTAACGTCATCGGCTTTGGAATCGTTTGGACCGGTGTCTTGATGTTGCAGGTACGTTCACCACAACTTCACTGAACATGAAGTACAGCCCTAACTCGAATACAGCGATTCCGCTCCCAAGGGAAACAAGACCTCCTTCCCATAGATGATCAGAAACCCAAACCACATTCTGACCAGGCGACTCATAACAAAACCCATGTTGTCAATGAGCGCTGGTACTACCCACCCGACATCGCGGATGACTTGAAAGATATCGACCTTCCGTTCCGAGTCAAAGAAGAGATCTACGCAACGGCTTGGGAATACACTCGCTGTGTTATTCCTGAATACACCAACTGGTCCCGATATGTTGCCTTCATGCGCATCATCGTGATGGGCATCATTGCGGAATTCAAGGGTGATCTCATGGACGTTGCCAACGACGACAATGTCGTTGGTTACAGTCTTACCGGAGTGCTGAACACCTTGTGCGGAGGAACAGCAGGAGGGTATGTTTCCACGACCAAGCACCCTCGGCGTTGCAAGTTTCCCTGCTAACATACTTCCGTTTCCAGTGAAGAGATGTGCCGCGAGTACCGCTGCTTCCTCTTGATGTCGTCGCAAAAGTCTCGCCACCAGACAAACACTATGCTGTTCCGCCGTTACAGTGTCGCTCTATCGAAGGGCCCTTGGCAATTCTTCCGCATGCGCGATACCGACGCGCTCGCCCGCTTCACCATCGGTGTAGCGCTAGTCTGCAACGATCTCGACAACATCTGGTTCACTGAAGAGCAATTCGACATCATGGCCGAAATTGGTAACACCATGTACGACGGTATCTCTTACTGGAAGCATCGTTCCGAGGGAGAGATCAACAGCACCTTCGCATATGTCCCAGAGGAGAAGCGCGTCTTGGCATACCACAAGTGTCGCGAGGCGCTCTGGGCTTTGGACGTAGCGTGGGCGAGACAACCCGAGCTGAAGTGTGTCATCAACTTTCTCCGCTACTTCGGTGGCCCAATCCACATGATCATGCGACGATACCGCTTTGTGGAAGAGGGTCTGACTCTAGGCCGACCCGAGGACCAGCGCGTCATTCAGCAGACACGGAGCAACGTCAAGCTCTGGAATAGGCTGGACGAGCAGAAAAAGGCGAAGGAGCAAGAGAAGATGAGCGTCGAGCAGTACCGTCACGTTCTCGCCAACGAGAAGGTCTTGTTGTTCAACGGTCTCGCGCCTATGCTGGACAAAGCCGAGCTGGGTCTGTGCAACAAGTGCAGCTACCGTGAGACATATGGTGCCCCGCAGGCCCATACCTTTGGCGGAGTCGTTCTGTGCGACGAATGCCAGCAGGGGTGGGCCGATTGGACGGAATCCGTGCTACAGCGCATGGTCAGAGCCTTCCCGGAGGCTGCTGAGACTGTCCGTGTTAGTGAGATGCGATCGAGGTCCTCAATCGCACCGTGAGGATTGCACTAGGCTTTTGAAGAGACGGTATTGTGTTAGAATACTACAGGGCGGCGCGCTGTTTATCTAGATTGTATGTGTGGAGACGAGATGCATTCCCTTGTTCGTTGTTTCCTCAGGCGGTGTTGAGGAGCCAGGCGGAAGGTGTCGAGATGGTGGGAATTGGTGATGTAGCCATGTTTTGATACCAGGCCGGTTCTGTTTGTATAGATAGTAGTAAAATGAACATTTTCCCCGTACGAATCTTTCCCTCAACAGTTCTCTATTAAGCAGAGTCAAATGTCGCTGTTGCTGTCCGGGTCAAAAGATCTCAAGTATTACCTAGGTACTGTGGCCGGTGACAGCATCTCCGCGATGATGTAGCGAAGAAGAAAATACACCTGTGAGCGTAACAGGGCGTGGTCTTGGTTCAGTCTATGTATCGGAATAGTACCTTGGTATGCGAGACGATTGTGACAGGTTTGGGATGGTTCGCTGGAGTGCCGTCTGATGTGTCACTCAGATGTAAAGTGGTCTGCATGCCATTTGAGCGTACAGAATTTAGTGCAAAGTAATGCGCAAAGTATGCGACAGCAGTCGCGCAAGTGTGCAAATGCAGTATTGATGTGGAGAGGTGGTTCATCCTGGTGGCTGCTGCTCCGGGCAGTTGGGTGTCTTAAGGCGGCCGGCCTCAGTGGGGCGGCGCTCCTTGCCGAGAGCAGGCTGGGTGGGCCCACCTGGGCAGGCCCGGCTGCTATGGGACACATTCTAACACCCAACTTCGCATCTTCAACCATTGATGCCAACCGCTGTTCTCAGCTCGCCGATGCATTATCCTGTGACGACTACTGGAGAGGATGTAAATATCACTTCGCGCGTCCCCATCGCCGCCTCAGTGCACAAATCTTATCAACCTCACGGAAACTCACACTCATTCCGCGGTGCGCACGTCAAGAAAGCTCAGTTCACAGCAAACACTTGGTATTACTACTGTCTAATCCCAATTCTCTATGCCAGGCAACAGATGAGATAGGCTCCAACGACAAGACGATACAGCTCTGCAGCTCTCCAACATTCCCCTCCTCAAACATCCTGATACACCTCGCAACCCCCCAATGCCGGATCAGACGCGAACGCCTCGAAAACATCCTCACCAACATTCAAGAACAAGTTGAGCCCGTTCTTATACCAAGCGTTACCAACCGCCTCACCATTAGGCACGGCCTCTGTCAATACAAAGAGATTAGGTATGGAGGACGACGGGATATAAAAGGACGGGCTGAGCGGTCCAAGATGAAACTTCTCGTATCCCAAGTGCGCGACCGAGCTGAAGATAAGGTGTTCGTCACCACCTTTGAACGCAAAGGTGCGCGAAGGGCTGTCTTTGAAAGTCGCGTCGTAGGTGATTGCATGCATTGCGTTGTCGTCGTACTGACCGAGGGTCTCCGTGACCTTGATGGCGAGGTTGATGGGATCTGTGGCGTTGTCGGGCTTGCTCTCGGCATCAGGAGAGATCATGACATTGACGTATGGGGACCCCAGTAGTCCGTCGCGTACGCCTAATAGCCAGCGGAAGCTGCTTGACAGATGTAGATCGACTGGCGGCCGTTGGACACGACCGCGAGCCCGATTGAGACAGGCCCAGAAGAAGCCAATCAGCACTGCCTGATCGGTCAGGCGCATTGAACCTTTAGACTGTAGTTCTTTGATCTTGTGCTCGACCTCCGTGGCTGGTATGTGCAAGAGGTAGTTGTATATGGTCTCCGGTTCTGGCGTCTGCGTGGCATCTGAGCTATTTGGCTTCAGTGTACGGCGATACGGGCCTCGTGTGGGAAGTTCGCGAGCTTTCTCAAGGAGCGCAGGGCCTTGTTCTTCTAGGTCGATCTCAGCAAGTTGCTCGCTGAATATCTCTGGCTGCCATGACGGTGGGTTCTGGGGCCCATCGTTTTCGCCATGGAACATTTGCCCGTAGTTCACCGACCAGCTTTCTAGGAACTTTGCCGCCGTATAACCGTCAGCCAGGCCATGTTCAAAGTCTATGCCAAGACTGAATCCATCGCATGCGAACGCCGTGAACTGGATTTGAATGCCAGGAGGCTGAGGGGAGGGTGCCGGAAACAGAGCTCGGACAGAGGAGGGGGTGTAGTCCCAAAGGAACGTCGACTCGTTCAGAGGGGCAGGTGGAAGTAAGCTGCGAATGCGCGACTTCGTGCTCGCTTCAATGAACTCTACCGCCTTGTCGCTGGAAGTACCCCAGCTGACAGTGGTTCGCTGGTACTCTTGATCGCCCTGCCCCACATTTGGTGTTGCGCCAGTTTCCAAAGTTCCAACAAAACGTGGGTAGATATCGAGTGTTTTGGAGAGACTCGCAGTAAGGCGCGCTACGAGGTCTTGCGGCGGCTGCTTCGGTTTCTTGAAGAGGTATATCGTTGGTACTGTACGACGGTAGGCGTACCATGCATCCAAAACTGGTAAATTCGCAGACTGTTGTGATAACTTCTCGTAGCCCTGGGGCCAGATCTCGTGTACTTTGACAATTTCGACTTTCATTTTTGCGTATGACGAAACTTGATAGAACGATTACACTCCGCCAATAGAGTAAGATGAGATAATGACAGATAATCCCATTAACGACTAAGAGATACTACAATCACCAACGTTGTGGGTGCTGGCCCTTGCGCGGTGAGGACAGTCGCCAATTCCCCGTATGCCCCGATGACGTCCGGCTTGCTCTGTACTTCACGGCTTTATCCCGAATATTCCATGGGACGATGAAAACTATCGGGCCAGTTGAAGAGATGACCCTAAACGCCGTATCACATTAGGTTCAACTTCCAGATGATGCGCCGCAAGAAAGAACCTGTGAGAACTTGCAACTACCCGGACGTCCACTTGATCACGTGACAGTGATCTATCCCAGGTCAACAACAACATCCCGGTGTCGTCATCGATGAACGCGCAACGTTTTATCCATGGTTTCGGGTCATGAAAGAGTTCGACTCGATGCAAAGACAGCATCGCGATGGCGGGTCAGCGATGGTTAAGCCGGGAGCCTACGTAGTCGTCCGTCCACGCCTGATTACCTTTTGCAACAAATAGCAATATATGCCTAAGCCTACCTCTTGACGCTTCTCTTTCTTATCTCATTTATATTCACAACCAAGATACCCATCACATCCGCCCTTTCATAATGCCGCTCTACTACACAGACACCACGCCCACGAACGGCATTCCGGACATGAACGGCGTGCCTTCTGATGCTCCTCCACAACCGAAATCCGATGACCTCTCGAACGCGATAGCGATAGTTGGCATCAGCTGCAAGTTCGGAGGGTCAGCATCCAACCTCAATGGTCTATGGCACACATTATCCAGCGGCGAGAGCTGCTGGTCGCCAGTTCCCAAGAGTCGCTTCGACATTAGCAAGACATCGCATCCCGACTCTCAGCGGACAGACAGTGTAAGTGTCCTCAAGCACCTTAAAACCATGGGTAGTAGCTGATTATCCACCTGAAGCTTCATGTAAAGGGCGGCTTCTTCATCGAGGACGATTTGACAGAGTTCGATGCGCCATTCTTCAACCTTACGGCGGAGGTCGCGAAGTCCATGGACCCACAGCTGAGGATAATGTTAGAAGGAGTATACAATGCGACTGAGAGTGGTAAGCTAGCAAACCGTTTCCACGATGTGCTGTCCAAGGCTAACACAATGACAGCGGGGATTCCAATCGAGAAGCTTTCCGGTTCGAACACCTCCGTCTATTCTGCAACTTTCGGCAGAGACTATGCCGAGATGTTGATGAAAGACGCGGACTCAATGCCCACATCTCTCGTCACTGGAAATGGTCCAGCCATGTTTGCCAACCGAGTCTCACATTTCTACAACCTCATGGGACCCAGTGTCACCGTCGACACGGGATGTTCGGGTGGTCTAGTAGCCCTGCACATGGGTGTCAACAGCATCCGGAATCAAGAGTCGGAAGTTTCCATCATTGGAGCCTCCAACGCGATATTGAATCAAGACTTCTACATTGCCATCTCGAATCTGGGCCTTCTACACGAAGATGGAAAATGCTATTCCATGGATCATCGCTTCGGTGGTTACGGCAGGGGCGAGGGCATGGCCGTGTTGGTGTTGAAGAAGTACTCCGCAGCGGTCAGGGATGGTGACCACATTCACGCTTTAATCCGCGAGTCTGCTGTCAATCAGGACGGCAGAACCGGAACGATAACGTCTCCCTCCATGGACGCGCAGCAGCAACTCATCAATCAATGCTATAGTCGGGCAGGAATCGACCTCTCGTCAACAGGCTACGTCGAAGCCCACGGCACAGGAACCGGGGGTGACGCTATTGAAGCAGAGGCCTTAGCATTGACCTTCGGTAATTCAAGGGAGAAGTTTGACCCGATCTGGGTCGGCTCTGTCAAGAGTAACATCGGCCACACTGAACCTGTTAGCGGGCTAGCAGCAGTCATCAAAGCAGCTCTCATACTACGCCACAAGCAAATACCAGCAAACCCTACCTTCGAGAAAGCCAATCCGAACATACCACTTGAGGATTGGAAGCTTCAGGTACCGACAGAGCTGACGCCATGGCCAAAGGACAAGCCGTTCAGGGTATCTGTCAACAACTTTGGTTATGGTGGAACCAATGCACATGTCATCCTCGATGCGCCCCCGAGCCCTGGCGATCAACGTCGCTTCGTACTCCAGAATGGCAACGGAGAGATCGCCAATGGACATGCGAGCACCAAGGGGCATGCGAGCACCAATGGACATGCGACCATCAACGGACACGCCAGCACTAATGGAAATGCCGACACCAACGGGCACCCAAATACCAATGGCCATGCCCTCAGCAACGGCCATGCAAGCAATGGGGTTGATCAACCTTCCGACAGCTCCACCGACCCGTCGTCTCTAGTCTACATGTTGAGCGCCAAAGAAGAAGCCGGTGCAGTCACACGATGCAAAGACCTAGCAAAGTATATCCGCAACGCCCTGCAGGCAGGGAATGCCCC